ACAGGCCAAAATTTCGACAACCTAAATACTTGGCATATTCATGGCGCTAATTCGAATACCAATTCTTTTTTACAAGAGCATTTCGGGATTTTTTGCTGTCGGTATTAACATGGCTGTCGGGATTTTCATTTTCCAACATTAAGAAATCGTCTAAAACTTCTCCAGCGAATTTATGGATTACATACCCTAAATTTATAAGCTTTGGGTTCAAAACCAAAACATAGATAAACACAAAATAAAAATTCAAAAAACGAAGCCCTCCCAAAAAAGAAGCGGCGCGCTAGTGAGTTCACAAAGTGGAGAAGAATAAAGGAAAATCCCTCATTCAACCTCAGACGCACCGGTGGCCATTCATTCGAACGCCCTTGGCCCGCACGTAGTGTACCCCTAAATAACGCGTTTTTGCTAGCTGAAAAAGAGCGGCACCAACATCAACACTAATGAATGCGCCCCTTCCTAATAAATACTAGGGAGTGTAATCCGATGCGTGCTATGGTCGTAACTATCTCTTCCGTGTTGAAGAACGCGAACAGCTGGGGTGGCCCTCCGGTTGTTTTCGCTTTGTATTTTCGAATTGGAGATGAGGGTCTCGGGGGGCAGGTGCATCAGAATGCGGGTTCTGTTTGAAAACAAGCCACGGTGCTTGCTCGAGCTTCCCGGGGAAAGAGGGGGAAATAAGAATAGTTTTTGAGTGCCACGGTGGCGTGGTAAATTTCGAGGGTTGGGGGACTACTGTTGTAGCAGTCCTTGGTAACGAGAAAAACTCGTAAAACTAGGCAACGGAGCTGTCCTGGGGGCACGAAGATTTGTAGCTTGGTAGGGAAATTTTCAGGGGTGCCTGGTAGTTAGAAGGCGTGAGTTTTGAGGTTCGGGAAGCTGATGGAATGGAGGAGTGGCTAAATGGGTTTGCTAATAAAAATTGGATCATGGAAATTGAGGATTTATTTTGAAGAGTTTTCATAAGAAACGGGAGGGAAAGGGGCGCAATTCGCAATGATGCGAGAGAGAAACTAACTTGCACTTAGCAGGCAGCAACACGAGAAATAAGTTTTCAATATTTTAAAGGGAATGCTTCAGCACTCGCTAAAGCGTCGAAAAATCTGCTAGAACTTTTATTTTCAGCCCAAATGATGGAGAATCAAAGAGTTATGTTAAAAGAAACTCAATTCATCCCTTTAAAACACCGCAAATCCCACCAATTTCTTCCAAAAAACCCTGAGCCCTATAGTATGAAGCGCACGTCGCTTTTCCCCATGCACAAATAGCCATTCTGAAATTGCGAATTCAAAAACCTCATTGAGTATGCATTTCCACTGACGTTTCAACGGAGACCTCCAAGGGATAATTGCTCGCCCTCGAATCCCATACCACCCTCTCTTTCTCCCCCGCCTCACCCTCCCATAGAACTGAAAATTAAAGGGTGCCCCGGAGCGGAAGTTTGAAGGTGAAGCAGCAAGTCAGAGGGGAAAACAAAGGAGATCTTGCGTGGTCAGGATATTTTCATTTCTTGGCTTAATCAAGGCCGATGGTGGTTTGATGGGGGTCTTGTGGCGGGAAAGGACAATAGGGTATTTAGGGCCGTTTATATCATGGTTGGTGGGCTTCAATGTGACTTTGTTTTCTGGGTATGATGGCCGTTTTTTTGAGGGTTAGGGTGAGAACACGATGTAGGGGATGAAATAGGTGGGGTGAAGAACACTTAAATGGGTATTTAGAGGTTATGTAAATCCATTCTATTCGCTTTATCAGATGTTTCAAATTTGCGTTTCACTGCTTAGAGGCTTCGTTTTAAAAATGTATTCCCGGATTTTTAGCTAGTTAGTTAGATATATCTATTTCTAACATTATCCTCAGAATTGAATGCCAATGTGTCGTGTAAGCACAAATCAATTTTCCGATGCCGTACGCTTTTTACCTTCCCAGTCCCTTTAATATTTCATGACGTGACTCATTTCCTCGGACGCTCGCATTATAGCTAAGTGTTAGTGGTTCGCCGCTCGGGGAAATTGCCGGCTCCACGCAATTCGAATACGGCTTGGCGATGGGTAAGGTTCAGAAAAAGGGTTGGGCACAGACGATTCGGACCACCAATTCGGCGGAGCCCTAGATAGAGTAGAAAAGGGTTGTTGGCCAGCCAATTATATGTATGGGACCCACACGAGGTAGAGGAGGGTCTGTGGGCGACGCTGAAATCCGGATCAGGTTTCATGTTCGCCATTTGGGGTGGAATTGATGATAAAAAACCTCGCTTTTTGCCGGTTGGATAGATATCGGCTTGAAAAGGTCAAAATATGTGGATTTGAATTTCCGAAATGATCGGTTGCGGGAGCAGGAAGCTAGGGGTAGCTAATAGCAGGAAGTTTAGCAAAAAAAAATCGACAAATTTATTGAGAGCAAATGGGCACAATCTACCAAAAAGCCAGGCGACTACATAAAATACAGCTGCTTTCCTATGCAAATAAACTTTTTATGCAATGCTTTCAGTATGGTTTTTCGGGATGCCATCCAGAAAAAGGAAAACGGCATAACAATTTTTCTGCTATCACCTTTAAAACCCAATTAAACCTTGTGATACTTTTGAACCCAACAGAAACCTTGTTCCTTGGTCACTTAAAATTCGCAACCCTATATTTCAAAATATATCCTATCCTTGCCCCCGAAATACCCTAAAAAACCAGGCAGCAGCCGAACACAATGAACCCGCAACAACGCCATCCAATACTTCCATCATCTGGGACCCCCCAAAAAGGGAAAGAGTATATCGGGGGGCCATGTGGTATCAGATCTCGGAACAAAGGCCAGCACACAAAATGTATGGCTGGAATCCGGTTGGAGAGGAGTGCGAATCAGTTATCCATCCGGCGGATGGGGGGGGCAGCTTTTCGGGAAGGAGAGAAATGGAGGCCATGGATGGGGGAGGATGGGTCCTAGGATAAACGGGCCAACAACGCTGCGGGTTCGGGGTCAGCCCGTGGAAAATGCATTTGCCCAATTAAAGGCCACTGAAGAACGAGCCTTCGGGAAGTCTGAAGCTAATTTTGGCTCATCCATACCATTTCAGTGGAACCGCTTCGGAAAGCGGGGGTCTGGCTAGAAGTGAGTGGACGGGGGTCATTTCGCTTCGACGACCCGGGGGCCCGGTTACCCATGTGTTCCGCCATGCAAATCAATTTTAACCCAATTTCCGGGATATAAAGGAATGATGAAATATAAGAGTTTCGTAATGCTTAAATAGAGGCGTCGTGATAATCCAAATGCCTGTCTGCTATGTCAAAATACAGATGAACGCTGTTTCAAACTGATTCCGAGGCCCTATCCGAAGGCATGTCATGGAAGACATAACGCTGATATATAGCGTGAACCGATTTTATAAAACTGGATAAATTGGTTGTATTTTTAAGGTATTTTAATTGTAATTTTTTACGACGGAAATGGCAAAAAGGCTGCTATTGCCTTTTCGAATGGCGTAAAAACCATGCTAATATATCTTGTGCTTTCGGAGTCACTAGGATGTGCATTTTTTGGGGCTCATGGTAGTTGATTATGGCTCGGAAACTGCCCATATTTGGCCCATGCGCCATTGCTTCTCGACAATAGATCTTATTAACTGCCTGGCATTTTTGTGAATTCCGCCATAACCATTTTGTTCATTCTTCCAAACCATCATTGACACTTTCCGCTTGGCATCTTTGACCCATGGATTGCCCCTTCCTCGCAAAACCTAGACCCTTTAATGCTTTCCAGGAAAGCAACATCTAATTCCCGGAAAATAGAGGCGCCCCTCTTTGCAATATTCATTACTTAACAAGGCGCATCTTTTCCAGTCTACCCTCCATCGGGACAAGCGACGATCAACATCAGTCGGCAATTCCCCAAAGGGACGAGGCATCCGGGCCCGAAGGAAAATTGTAGTATCTGTAGTTCCAGATCCCACTTTATAAACTCAATTAACTCTTCGTAGAATGGTTTTGACACCAAGTAGCACTAACTAACGCCAGGAACAGCCTGCAATTTCCTGTCTGCTGGTCCCTTAGGGGATATGGGCGGGGGAACCCGGCAATCAGGTTTTACATCTAAAAGGGTGAAGTGGAAGAAGGGGGAGAAGCATGATTAAAAAATCGGCTCAGAATAGTCATAATTGCAGGGGGAGGGTAGGCGGGACCTGTAGCGGGGAAACCCCCGGGGTTAGATCACAACGCCACACAGTCCCCGCATTTGCTAATTCAATCCCAAGTCCAAAAGTCTGCAAATGAATTTACCTCATTTCCCGGGTACATCTTCCCCCTTTGTTCACCCGCTGAATACCAAATAGTGGCCAATTTTCCTTGATGTTGGGCACGTAGAACGTCCAGCACAAAAATTCTTCCTCGTTTCCCCAAAAGCCATCAACTCAAAGTTTTGTTGACCATCCAACCCAACAGTTAGCTGTTGATTGGATGGATGCGGAAAATGTGGCACGCAATGCCGGCATGATGACTAAATGAGAATTCAGCCATTTACGGGCGCCCGGTCCTCAAAACCATTTATGGGGGGGTGATTGTAAATGGGTATATTTAATCTTATAGGGTCCCGCCCACCATCAGCTATCAAGGCTATTTGACGGGTCGTCATCATGGCATTGGATATGCTACAGGCCATACTCCTTGCCGTGGGTACGGTATCGACCTTGGTACATATTGCACTTGTCTGGAATATACTACGTAATCGAAAGAAGATTAAAATTTTGCAAGGGTCGTTTTTAAATTGGCAATTATACAGGTGGATGCTTCCTCAAAATCAGATATAAATTTTTATCTAGTTTGTCGCGGATTTGCTGCTTTATGCAGAATTTACCGTATTTTTCCGGTTAAGAAAATATGACTATTTGAATTGGTTCTTTGCGCCGTATTTGTCTGATGGTAGGGGAATAAAACTTCGATGATCGTAATTTACGTTTTCAAGACCCAACAAGCTATTCCTGGGTGGCTAGGTGCTGCAACGCTTTTCACTATTACATCAAGATGGTGATCTACATTGCTCAAATCTACGCGGCTGCAAATCGGCTGACGTCCGCTATATTTCCGCTCTCCTATGAACATGTTTGTGTCATTTTTACGTTTATATGCTTTGTATTAAGCTCTGGACAAAATGGCGGATGGTTATAATGACGTTAATACAAATTATAATACCGTTGATAATTGTGATACCGGTGAACTTCGATCCAAGCTATGATATACGATATGCTATCGATTCCGGAAAGATACGATTGTTTACAGACGCGCAGAGTACTTTCGTTAGTTTTGATTAAGGGTCTTGGACCGCTGAGTTTATTTAGCTCGTAGCTCTAATCGATGGTGCTTCATCAGTAATCTCCACTACGTTATCCATGGTCTGCTATGTGATCACCTGTATTGGGGTAGGAAATCCCAATATACAGGGTGGCTAGAGTATTTGCCGCGCTTTCGCGCTGGTTTTAATCTGCTAAAATTCCAACGACAGGTGCATTAGTGGGGTGCATTCGGAAGAGAATTTTTGCTCTATCGATTGATATATAGAAACAAGCAAATGCTTGCTCGTATAATTTTAATTAGACTGAAATACATAAAACCTGGTTTTTGTATCGGTTTTCGGCACTTTCGAAGGCCTCGAAAAATTTCTTAGGGGATACCTTATTCTTTTCTGGTGCTGGATCGTAGCAACCATTAACGAAACTATCTAAAAAAATTATGCTCGGGGCACCGCAAGACTTCGATGGATCACGGAAGTGAAAGTAAAATTTTGCTAGTGGGGTGCGCCGAGATTCGTGGCTGGCAACCATCTGCCGCACAAAAATTGGTTTTAAAAATCATTAATTTGAAAGCTTGCCCTAAATTTACTATTAAAATATAGTAAATGCATCGGCCTACCAGGCTGACACTTTGACTAGGACCAAAATAATTGAAAACGCCGGCCTCAAGCATTTGAAGATCGTTCGAAACCAACGGCAAGAAAGTGCAACTTATTATTATTTTGTGCCCGCAATAATTTTAGTTACGGCTATCCAATGAGTTTTTCCTATCCACGCGATTGGTTTTATTGCGTCCACAAAAGAAATAATATTTTCCGCATAAAAACGTGGTTGCTTAAGACATCTTGTATTTGGGCTCCAAAAACACCTTGTTCCGCTCATTTTAGGCGCTCAAGAAAATAGTGAAAAGCTTTTCGATACGGCTAAAACGAATTTTTCTGGTTGATACGTCCAATAAAGGGCCTGACAATAAACAAAAATCCAACTTTCTGTTCTGATTGGTTGCAAGCAAAAATTGAAAAGATTAACACTAAAGTCAAAATACGTGCGGCGCAGGCCCATGTTTGGATACACCTCTAAAGGACCGTATCTTAAAAATCTGAGGTCTAGGGTGTTAGTCTTTCTGATAGTCGTAGCGAGGGGTCTGTTTGCTACATTTTGGTTATAAAATGGCAAAGAAGCCGGACACGGGGAATTTCTTAAGGAGCTTACCCTGCGGCAAATACTTTCTAGCCACCCTGTACCTTTCAGAAATCATACCGTTGTAGACAAAATATAAAGTCATGAGCCACAAATCCGAGGTTAATACGATTGCTGTTTCTCAGATCTTTTTTTCTTTGTTTCCTTAGTTTTTGAAGTGTTAACAACTGCGTGTGCCAACCAGCCACCTTTTCGCTTAATCAAAAACGCTTTCTTTCAGACGTACCGCCGGGCACACCTGGCTGCGGAAATTCGTTTACTTGCCTCGTCGCTGCTGGTCTTTGGCATTTTGGCTTTTAATAGCCTCTTCCAAGTGGGAACAATATTAGCCACGTATTGTGGTGTGCGAGAGATGTATATGCTGCAGGATTTGAGGTAACTAGGGAAGCTAAATCTGAAAATACATAACAAATTTAGCTATCCGATAGTAGATGCTATATATTCCTGTCAACCCTGGGCTATTCTTATATCATCTTCAATCGTGCGTCAAACATTTTTTCGTCACCTTCGTCGGAAGCAAAATAAGTAGGTTTCCACAATGATGCTTGTCTGCATGCAAACAATCCTATGTTCCCATATTTCAGATTATCATTTATCTGTATCAATGTCATTTCGAGATTCTCCAAATTTAGGAATGATATTACCAATTTCTCAGTTCTTATGATATCTAAAGTGAAGAGCACCGAGTCGGAAAGATCGAGAAGATCCTCACGTATCGCCACACCCAGTCAAATCAAGGGACCAATTTTTATAAGAACCAGTGTCCCTAATTAGAACTGTACTTCGATAAAGATCTGCCCACTGTTTCCCCGGGATTAATTGCATGTAGTATACATTGATATCAAGAATGGTTTTAGGATCCTCATGGGGCTGCCAGTTATAGTGACTGTGGCCTAATTATTATGGTTTTTGGGAGCTAAGTTCCCTGGGGACAGTATTTGCAGCATAAAAAAGCACTTCCCTCCCAGCAGTCTACTTTTTTCACGTAGTCATTACAGGCGGAAAATGTTACGAGCGCCCGGAGGGTTGGGCACGGAGCGAATGAAGCCGTTTCGACATAATTACCACTTTGCGGTTCGGTGAGCAAAAATTTATGGGGCTAAATAAGTGGGGTAGAGAAACAAACAATCACAATTAAGTTTTGTAACTCCTAGGAGCTTCTATGGAATACGTCACCTAACAAGGGGATGGTCTCAGCTCGGAATCGAATTCGGATTTGAAAATTTGCACACTTATAGAGCTCGACGAGACAAATCGATTGGTGTAACTTTCAGCAGCAGATACCCTGAACTAACAAAGTTATAAGCATTTTTAGTTTTGCATACATTTTGCAGATTTTTCGCCAGACCTTCATAAGCCCTGCCCCTTCCCCCATCAGCGTGGTCTGGTGGTCTAGTGGCGTGGTACGCGGCGTCTGGGGAATCTATCAAGGGTTCGAACCCGCTCACGATTTTATTTTTTGCTTTTTGGTCCAAAGATTCCTCTTGGCATTCCAAAGACCTTTAATGGCTTTTTAGGCATCCACCAGGAACCAGGAAGCGTTGCCAACAATAAAGCAGCTTGGCGAAAAATTTAAAATGTTGTGCCTGTGCTCATGCCTCCTCAAAAAATTTTGGAGAAATTTTCAGAAGGCTGGCAATCTGCTTATCAACACTTTATCGTATCCCAAGCGGCATGAAAATAATCAAAATTATTTTCTTTGAACTGATGGTTACCTTATGGTTGTTATGGTTACAAATTATGGTTACCTTGCCTACTTTCAAAATTTCCAAAATTTTTTAGGAGTGGGATTTTTTTGCTGCGAGCGCTTTCTGGTTCCTGGTGAATGCCTAAAAAAGCCATTAAAGGTCTTTGGAATGCCAAGAGGAATCTTTGGACCAAAAAGCAAAAAAATAAAAATCGTGAGCGGGTTCGAACCATGGATAGATTCCCCAGACGCCGCGTACCACGCCACTAGACCACCAGACCACGCTGATGGGGGAAGGGGGAGGGCTTATGAAGGTATGGCGAAAAATCTGCAAAATGTATGCAAAAACTAAAAATGCTTATAACTTCGTTAGTTCGGGGTATCTGCTGCTTAAAGTTACACCAATCGATTTGTCTCGTCGAGCTCTATAAGTGTGCAAATTTTCAAATCCGAATTCGATTCCGAGCTGAGACCATCCCCTTGTAAGTAATTTTTTAATTAGCCAATTTCCCATTTTTCCTGATTAGTTTGGTGAACAAAGTTCTGGTACGAAGACCGGTGTTTTCGGGAAGTGGTAGTTTGTAGTTCCTTGTATGTGATCATTAATGTATTAGTCGGTACAGTAAACCCGATTTATATCCAAATCTGCAAAAAAAATTGAAACCATAATACCGGGGATATGAATTAATCTGACCATCGGGATATTAGACGGAATAGAAAATTGCCCGATAATCGTCACTGCACATTTGAATATCACAATTGCAGAGCCGTGGTTTTTAATAGCTGTAATGGTGATCGACACGTGGATATGATAAAATTGAAGCTAATTTGGAAATAAATATTCTGTTGAGCGTAGTGGTAAATAAGCAGCAAAAATTCACGCGCAGGAAAAAATACAATGTAAGGTGGCGTTGAGGGCAAGCGGATGATACATCGAGCGTTGTGCAGTTATTGACAATAATTGTACAATTTTGAAAGATATGGGAATACATAAAACTCAAAACGTCCAAATTATATGGTACAACCGGGATATTATGGTAAGAACAGGAGCGGGCCTGCTACTTCGTTAGAATTTCGACTAGAAAACAAAAAAATATGTGGATTTTTAAAAAACTTTTCTATTTTGCTTTCACAGCGGTTTTATCCTATGGTGCGCAGGTGCAGCGTTTAGCACTAGCTGCAAGGGCAACTTGTATACGCTTGGAACGCCGTAATCCGGTGTTACTTGGACAGATTTAGCTTCGAAGTTGAGGGCTGGGCAGAAGCGGCCGGCTTTCGTCGAGTAGTTTGTGTAGTTTTAGCCTCTACACTGGCTTCTGTTTTGTGAGTCGTGCTGCCTGTTAAGGCTTGCAAGGCCATCGCGCGTTCTTTCCGGCTAAAAAAGTTAAATTTAGTTTCTGGGCCTTGCGAGGAAATCTATTTCTTAAAACTGGTAAATTACTTACCGACGCGCCGCATCCAACTCTTTCTGGCTTCTGCGAATCTCCGCCGCTGACATCTGAAATCGAAAATTAATATTTGTTTTTACGACTTACCGTGCGCATCGATTTGTTGTCATATTTGTCGGTGATAGCTTTTGGCAAGGTTTTCTCGTGGTTCATGGTTGAACCGATAAAGATCACCTTTCAATCAAAATAATCGGTAGAATAAATAGGATACCTGAATTTTTCCATTATCTCTGAGTCCAGCAGATAGACGAAAGCGTTCTTGTTGGTTCAGTGAATTGTACTGGCAATTGAGCAATGTTACACTGAGGGGTTGGAGTTTCTAAAAGTATGGTTGAGCAAGAAAAGTCTCTACTTACTTTCAGTGCATTCGTGAGGCCATTAATCTGGTTGCTGAGAAATGTGCAGTTGATCATCTCAATATGCTTAACGTTCCACTGTTTGAGGTAGCCAATCCCGCAAAGTAGGCTGTACAGTGTGCGGAAAATAACCTAAAAAAGATGAATTGGGAATCGTCAGAAAATCCTACCGTAAATGGATGCATATCGACCGTCGGGAGCCAAAATTGTAAGTGGAACTTGTCACGGTTGACCATCATAATTGATAACTTATCGGGAACCAGACCGATCTCCACCAGCTTGCTCAAGCCTTTAATTTCCGAGTCATTACCCTTTCCTAAATTTCTTACCGCGTATAAAGAGCTTTCCCTGCGAATTCACGATGATGGAATCGAGACATAACGAACGAAGGGATCTGATGCCCATCGTCACGTGACCATCTGAAGATGCTCGTTTTGGCTATGCTAAAAATCCCCACTTGGAAGCTGGATGATATTTGGGATTCGAAAACGCCGCTGGGGGTCCAGCCATGGCTCGCTAGCCAAGCCAGCTATCCTGAGAAGTAAAATTTGTCGAGATCCAGGAGAATTCTGAAAAATATCAGCCCTAGAGATGTGCTTGAAGTTAGTGTGAAGTAGATACAGACGCCGTACCAATCAAAACCCACCGATTTGCGGCTTTAAAAAAATTTCACAATCGTTTTGTTTTGATTTTTGAAAACTCCAGAGGATGCTGTACCACACCTATAAAACTCAAAATCAAGGTACGGCTGGATGGGCGGTTGCCGAGGTTACAGAACGGATTTCTAACCTATTAACATGGGCACTAGGGCCTGGGGCTACGCGGTGATACCCCATGTACCTACTGTTTGCGGTCTTTCAAACGGCGGGGATCGGTTAGCAAGTGATAAGCGGAGGTGAGCTCTTTTTATCAAAAAGTTTCTTTTGACGTTATTGTCCTATATTTAGAAAAAAAACATTTGTTAAATACGATCGTATTTTACCATATCCTTGATTTCTTACCGTGTCTGCAACCCGGAAATGCTCCCGAAAGTTTAAGGAAAATACCATGCATGAATAACTGAATTTGTGGCATTCTGCGGATTGTTAAATTAGACAACGAATTATTTGCTTTTGACAGCCCCAAATTTTCGAGCAGCGCAGTTGAAAAGCTTCTTAAACTGATTATAATCACTCCAAAAGTTCAACAAAATATTTAGAACAATCTCCACACCGTCTTCAAGCCATGACGATGGTATGCAAAGCTACCGGATTCAAAGATAAAAACCCTCTGCAGGAAATGACGCCCCAAAGATTTGCCGAACTCATGAAGCATTTCTACGAAGAGGGCTGGATGCGTGGAAGTGGCGGAGCACTAGCTGTAAATATTTTTAAAAGGCCTTAAAAACTCTTCCAGGCAACCTCTCGAGATGGTATTCTAATCAGCCCATCTAGCGTTCAAAAGGATATGATCAAAGAGTTGGTGCCAATGTGTTTCAACACAATTTCAGTACGGATATTTTTGTCTATGCGGCAAAGGATTTCTCACCAGTTATACAACCGGGTGGACTGAGGGTGACTTCTTGCCTGCCATTGTTTGAAGCTATAATGAATTCTTGCGGTTTGTAGTTGCGACCATTTGTAGTACTCAATCTTTTAGCCGCGGGATGCGTGATTCACTCCCATTCTCTGCATTCAAATTTATTGACGCAAATTGCAAAGGTGGCTGGGCAAGATTATGTTTGTTTTACCGATCAGGAATACCTCAAAGGCAAGTTAATAGAGTCAATTTTAGGATATACCAGGGTTGAAAAGCCGCTTCGCGACTTTTCAACCCTGGCCCCGGTCTTACCCCTATACTACGTTACTTTGCATAAACACCTGAATTACTGTGCAGAAAAATGAAAAGCGCGTCCTCTCCCCCCATTATATAGGCTTTCCCCACTTCCGGTGCATGCTAATTGATTCTTAACAACGAGACCGAGCGAGATTTTCACAAAAACTTAATTTTAATATCGAAAACAGCTGATTTTTAAAAATCTCATATGCGGGCAGTCGTGTCATGACCATTATGCACCTAATGACGTATCATACACACCCATAACTTTTTCCCTTATTGAGATACGACTGGAACATACGGACGGAAGTTGCATGCAAATGCACACACACACACACACACACACACAAACACTATTTTTTTTATATATAGTAGGATAACTTTTATTAGACATAGCTCTCTCTGTTAAAGAAGACCCAGCATTTCAGGTATACGATCCTCCGAGCTGCAGCGTTGCTATGCAAATACCGATCAACTCAAAATCCCTATCATTTCAAACAAACCAACTGAAGAACAATTATTGGTTGGTGGAATTTTCTAAATTGTTTAATTCAAGTCCAGCCCGAACTGAAGCTCACGCTGCAAAAATCTGGTGCCGCCATCCCAGCCGTGCTTGTCCAAAACCACGGCCTATTCGTTTGGGGTCGAACTTGGCAAGAAGCCAAAATACAGTAACCTTTTCCATTTACTCATATTTATATAATTTGTTCAGCGCTGAATGCCTGGAGTATCTCTTCGAGTTGGCAATTGAGGCCAGCAAAGCCGGGATCAAGATCTACTGACAATTGCCAAAATTTGTTGTGATCAATAGGCTGTGATAAATTCTGTTCCTAAAAAAATGAAAAATGGGAATTAATGGAATTTGGGGGGTCGACTCTCAAAAGATAAGTGTTATCGCTTACACAACACACCGAGGACACGGCTATGACGAAAAGAATTGTGATCGGAATGGTGTCATTTGGTAATAGAAGTCGTTTCAGTCTTTTAGCAAGAAAATGATTTCGTTTTTTATGGAATATTGTCGTTTTATTTTTCTTGAGACCAAGTGGAAATTTAAATTATCAAGATCCTATGTCGGTATCTCGGAAAATCTTGGATTGAGCAAGCAAGAAAAAAATGATAAATGTTATTCTGATAAATGAGCTTCCGGTTGCCTATCCAAAATTTTGGCCTTGTTCGGAATATTCTGGTTTTAAATCAGATCAACCACTTCATTTGAACAAAACCTTTCCTATTCAAATGAGCTTATCTGCTTTAAATTGCACTTTGGCACTTGGCTTTCCAAACTTAGATTGCCGGAGCTGAGCGGCGACCTTTTGGAGAACCACAAAATTTTTGAGGATTCTGCAGAAGTCGTTAGTATAATTTTATTCTTATTGCCATCTTCCAACCACCAACCCACCGAAACAAATGTTTTTCCCTCTACCCGCAGGTTGTTCGGGATCAAAGCCGGAGTGTCGATGCGAAAAAAGAGCTGAGCTTTTGTGCGGGGAGGTGGATGTCTCGAAATGTTGTTGGGGGGGGGGGGGAAAGCTGTATGTGGGCCCTCCTTTCCTCTCAGGCCAACTGTTGACTTATCCTCACAAAACCCTGAGCCATTTGCCGCTCCTCCCCATCCATCCCCGGGCTCTTCCCCCTTCAACTCCAAAAATTCCCCCCTCTGGTGGAAGCCTCCCCTTCTGACCTTGTTCACACATTGAGTTGTGTTTTTGTTTTGATTTATGGCCCTAGTTGGGGGTGGCTATTTTCTCTTCCGCTTTCGGAAAGTCATTTCATTTTCAGTTCTTTCTAGGGATAGACTCGGACTGCTATTACTGTTGCTGGAGCTCTTTTTTTTGGTTTACAGCTCAAAAAAGAAGCCCATTAAAAATTAAATAATTGATGATTAGAATTAAGTTGCTACTACGCGTTAAAACAATTAAAATTTAATTTGAAATTTTTTTTAGTTTTGATCGTGCTTTCAAGAACGATACTATCCTTTCACAAGCCAAATAAGTCGATAATCGCAGGAAAATGTTTGGCTGATTCATTTCCCCCAGAAAGCTCAATCCAAGACCGTTTGGATGCAATCTTTATTTTGAGGTTTTCGGCTAATTTGCTAGGATTCCGTTTCGTACAGCTAGAATAAAACTTTAAACTTAGTTAGCTCGTAATTGGAAAACAATAAACCTGTATTATAGGTTGTGATTTAAATGCCAAGTAACTCAAATAAGAAAAGATGGTCTGGATGATATTTTTTGAGGACGCGCTTATGCAACTTTAGCTTTAGGCTTGCAGCTTTGGATCTAGATTATTAAGAAGCCACGTTTCCGCTTTTTCCATTCCACCCAATCCTTGACTTTTGATGTGATCTCGAACTCTTCCAGGCTCTAACCCTCCCCAGTAGGCGTTCGCCACCCGTTGTTTCCCAAGGAGCAATTAGTCCAATTTCCAAATGTGCCAAAACGACGGGCGGGCAGCGTCGTGTCGGAGCCATCCCATGGCCAACCGATCACATGAGATCCCGAGGGGTAAGGAGGGGCTTTTGGGTGGCCCCCATGGCGGCTCTGGGGGCGTTGTGTGTTCGGCTGGCCTGTGGATGGGAGCTCTCGGCCTTTCTGTCTGCTGTTTTTCTGTTAAACCCTCCCCCCCCTTACGTGAAGCTCTTCTCTTGGGCCCTCTGGTTGGGGAGGTGAGACGTTCGACCATCGATTGGATCAGCCTCGGCTGCGAGGTCTCGACACTCTTTTCTCAAGGCTCCTCCTCGGCGGATCATTGCGAACCTATTTGCGCTTTCATATTGACCTTCATCATCAGTTTCGGAGGGGGGGGCTTCTGATCCGACAGTATAGTCTTGCTCATGTTTTTTAGATTAAATTGTTAGTCATGGTTTTGGCTTTAGCTTTAGAAGCTTTATTTAATGGGTACGATGAAAATCATCTTTTAAGCTATAAATTGCGTATTTCATTTTTTTTATACTTCTTCTGTAAAAAACTTGTTCAGTGAAATGGTCAGTCCTGACTTAAGAAGTACCTTGTTTCCAATAATATAACGCCAAAATTTCTCTCCACACGGAGCGCATTTTCAAAGTCGTTTGTTCAAATTCGAAGATTTTCGTAATTCTGATGATAGATGTTCATAATCTCAAAAAAGTACTATTTTTTAGCAATTTAAAACGTCTTTAACGAATTTCCTCAACCCGATCGACCCTTAATTGCTTTTAAACAAATTTTTTTACGATTTTTCTCAGGCAAAATCTATGCTCAAATTCATGTATTTAAAGTCCTTTGACAGTCCTGTAAAAACACCAATGATTGAATGCCCTGTCACATGCCGCTATTTTACTACACCACGATTTACATAGTTTACAACACCCGCAAACACTCGTGAACTGTTGTTGCTCGGGTCAAACCAGTCATACAAATACACACACACACCACCGTTCTCCCCCACCTTCGAACTCATTTTTATTCACGAATCCCTTTTTCCGGAATTTCCCCCCTCTCTGATAAGCCGAACACCAGTTACCCCCGGGTGGGTCAAAGTCATTTTGCACAAACAACGGCCCGTTATTTTGACCCGGTAGCCGAGGCCGGGGGCGTCTACCTGTGATAAAATATCGTTCTGGGCTTCTGACAGGGGGTAAAGTCGTGAATAATCCTTGAGTGTAGATTGAGCGTATCTGGCACGTTAGGGCTAGGAATACTAATCATGGTGACTGTTTTTTGGAATTTTAAATCTTGCCAGACTGTTGGCTTATCGCATTCCTTGAAATGTTCATATAATTTGGGTGCTAGGATTCCGGGCCGAGATTTGGGGTTCCATTTAATTATATTCAATGTGGGACGGCCGGAAAGTTCTATAAAATATGGGTGGTTTGGAAGGTTTTCAGCCGTAGCTTCGATTTTTTGCTATATTCTGAACAAAAATGTCAGCTTGTGATGAAGGTTTGTTTGGAATACTTTGCGTTATTAAAGTATATGCGCCAAAAAATGGTCCTTCAAGCCCTAAAATTATCGTAAACGGATAAGAAAGTTTAATTTTTTTTGTGTTATAGGATAAGAAATTAAAGTATCTATTTTCCAAAAACCGTTATTCTCGCTGACTCGCGTTCTTTACTACTATCACCTTCGACCAGCCACAAATGTCCAGTCAACCTCTCCCAAATGGTATTCGACAAACCAGTCTCTTCATCCTACCTCCTTTCCACCATCCTCCCCTCACTCGTTTCGTGTGCCGCAGGTGTTGTTTGCGGTTGAGCAGAACGAATTCTCGCCTTCCAGAAGCATTCTCCGCGTCTGTTTGCGAGGGCAATTGCCCTCCAAAGACGCCGCGCGCGCTGAAACTCTACCCTAACCCTCGCGCGCCAGTTTTTGCCGCCGAAAAACCGTGTTTTATCGAATCTGTCCGTTTAATCGCATTGATTGATTGGTCGAAGAAATAGGGAATTTAGTTATATCGAGATAAACTAACGACTTGCTTGTCTGCGACTTGTAGAGCTTAAAACCTTTGATCTTTTCTTACCCCTTACACATTTAGTTTTCACGATTTCGTGCCTTTGAGGTGTTTTCGAACCCGCACATCCGTCAAAAAATATTGATAGCAAAAATCTAGTAATAAGTATTTACTCAAATACTCTATGACCTAGGCATACGAGTGTTGGCCGTTATTAGAATTTCGGTGGCGAAATAAACATACATATACTTAAATTTTAAGTTAAGTTATATTACTATTTTGACCATATTACGTTACACAATCCTTCCGATCTTCAATTTTTATCCCAGGCATCACATCGATTTTTCCTGCACCTACTGTTTTCCTAAAATTTATTTTTTTTGAGATGTTCAAAAATTTTGAAATACTGAAAATCATAATATCGTAAACACTCCCCCACAAATAGCATAACACAGCAAGCCCCCCAGTTGATTTTTCCCAATTGCCTTGATTGTTGCCTCCTATGCGGATCCCCAGATTCAAATTCAATCTCAATTCCGTCCACTAGCTGGTCAAAACCCTACGCCTCCTCCTCTTCCTCCTCCTCCCCAATCTCAATCTAAAATATTTCCTCCGCCCACCAACCATAAATCCGGAACTGGTCACCCAGATGCGGCTTCAAAGACGCCCGCCTCGTTTTTTACAGCTATCTGCGGTTTTGAGGCATTTCAATGGCCGGAAGCCGTTCAGAAATAGTTTTTTCTTGCTGCGAGCGCCTTTCTTTTTATTTGATCAATCAATGGGAAATGTTTTGGTATGAGCCATTGTGGGGAGGAGGGCTGCGGCTTTTGTGAGCGACATTGGGGGGGCAGAAGAAACCATTGGCATTTTATATTGGGCTAGAAGACCTTTGTCGGTTTGGGTTTCTCGAATCGCGACCGACGTGTTTGTCGCGGGCTAAGGACTATGAATAACGATATTGTCAATAATGCGCACCAGGGCGCACCCAGTGATGACCAGTCGGCAAGTAAGCATGGCCCCGTTGGGGTGTTTGGAACCGTTATTTCATATTTTTCATGTTTACGAAATATATTTTGATTTGGAAAGTCTTGGTTTGAAAAATATATTTATTTTATTTTTAGCCAATTGCATGGTTTGCGTGGGTGGTGCTCCGCAGCCCAGCCAACACGATCCAGATGTAATCCGTGTAGATGAACATTATCCGACAGGTTGGTGATTTATAAAAAGGGGTTTAAAGAGAGAAACATGTTTTGTTCTTCTTTCTCGTTAGGTTTTATTACTGTTCTCTTTAGCTCTCATCCTCCTCTCTCTGTTGCTCTTTCTCGTTTCTCTCTCTCTCTCTCTCTATTTGGTTACAGTCGTTTTATCGATTGACAAAACCCTTTAATTTTAAAATTCCTCATGCCTTGAGAATGGTAGATCATTGAAGGCTTCTCAGTCAACACGGACCCTCAGGGACCCTCCCCAGATCCATTCCACATCCCCTCACAGAAAAAAAAACCCCAATGACGCACACTAAAAACGACAATAGGCCCACCGGCTGGGCCCTTCGGACTACACCCAGTAGAAAGGAGAGCTTAATGAAATAAGGCTCCACGCCGGGCAGATGGTTGTCTGGGAAGGGTGTCGAAAATAGCTGGCTTGATAGTACTGGCTTTAGAAAACGTGAAGTATCAAAATCCTAGGCGAATTTGCAGCAAAAAAATTGCCCATAGACGAAATCAGCATTTTGTTACTAATTATGTAAATTTTCAGAGGAAGAATTCGCGCCGTTCGACCCAAAAGATATCGTCAGAATTCGGAGCAACGCCAAATTTGAAGAATTCTACGATATCGATGGTGAACCAATCGGAGAGTACGATTCACCAAATTTCCATCACAAAATTTTCAGAGGCAAATTCGGAAAAGTCTACCATTGTGTCGAACGCTCTAGCAAACTCGAGCTCGCAGCAAAGTTTATTAAAATTCGCAAAGTGAGTATAACCTTTTATTTTCCACTTATCATCCGCTTCAGGATGGGTTGGGGCGATCGTATGTAAGTTGCTTTATTGAGTGGTGTGGCATTAGTTCCCTAAATTGCCCTACAGAAATCGAATATTCTCTATCCACTTTCGCTCGCATGGTTCCTAGCTTTTACCTGAAAATATCAAAAACAACTCTAGCTATCCGATGGCTTCTGAGTGACGCGATTTTGTTGCTTTAGTTGTGCTTATTTTGTTGTTGGTTTCAGGATGCCGATCGCGAACAGGTTGAGCACGAGGTGTCAGTTATGACCAGGATGCGACATCCAAGAATTGCGCAAATTTACGACGCTTTTTATTCGACGAGCAACGATGTGATTCTCGTGATGGAGCTGTAAGTTTTTGGGGGGTTAGAAGTATGGGGGTGAGGCCCATTGACGCATTGCCTTTGTTGGGGAATGCCGAATTGAGTCATGGCGACGGTTGTGTTTGCTTGGCCGGCCACAAAACTTGACAGTTTGAGTCAGTGTTTGAATGAAAATAGGCAATTGAAGAGTGAGGATGGGTTTTTGCATACTCTATATAAATTAAATCATGATAAATCCAAAACTAGAGCAGTGGAGATGGTACAAACAAATTTTTTTTTTATTTTTTAGGGTGAAAGGCGGCGAGCTGTTCAACCGGGTCGTCGAAGACAATTTTGTGTTGACCGAAACGGCGGCCGCTGTAATTATTTGCCAACTCTGTGAGGCCATCGACTACATTCACAAACAGAATATTGTGCATTTGGATATTAAGGTAAGTTGAAGAATTTATAAGGTTTAAAATGCGTGTAAAAATACTTGATAGCCTAATGTTTTAATTATGGTAAAATCCTATGTTTGAGAAAATTCCAATAATTTTGGCGCTTTGTGAACCTTAAAAATCCGTCAAAACACCTTCACCTGACCTTAAATTACGTTAAAACACTTTGAAATTCTGACTCGGAAAGCTAGGGTAGGTAGAATTCCAGTAATGGCACTTGAATTTGGGTGATAAGTTGATTTTAATATGTGGTGGCGCTTAAAATACGTTTATATTAGATTACGCGTTAAATTATGGCAAAAGCTTGTTGTAAATTTTATATAATTTCCATAATAGCGCCTGATCTTTCATCACCTAGTTTTTTTTTAGTCTATCCACATGCAATCCAGCTGAACGCATAATCAGCTGACCCCATTTCCCACCACCCCAAACCCATCCATAAGCCATACGACCCACCAGATCCCGTTCGATCAGCCCCAACAAGCCCCCAGGTGGATGACGTCAAAAGCCGTTTCACCGAAATTCCTAGGCCCCCCTCGTTGAGCAACGACAGCTGGCACTCCTCCCCCAAACAATGAATGTGCCCTGGGGGCTATAAGGGACACTCTCTGCTGCCCTTTCAACCCTATTTCCGGAGGAGTTTGAGAGCTTCTTGGCCGCCTGGGGGGCTGAGCGATCCGCAAAGTGATCGGTGTCAGCTAATTTTAGCTGACATGACTGCCGGGGTTTTGTGGGGCTGGTGGCAGTGGACGGGCGTCAAGCAATTGTAATTGTTGGCAACTGGTTGTTGGCAACAGTGGAGGAAGGGGAAGGAAGTAGAGGTGATAAAAATAGGTAAAGGAACTATCAGGGGGCTTGAAAAGGTTTTAGCTCAATAATAAAAACGTAATTCTTATATATTTATGCATTAAATTGAATTACAGCCAAGTTTGAGGCATTAACGAATTCTAAAGATACTAAAGTAAGATACACGACCAAAATTTTCCATATACTAAAAAATTATGCGCGTTAAATTTCGATTCCATATAAATATTGGGGGTTTCGGCGTTATTGCGTAATTTCTGTATATATTCATTTATCTATTATCGGTATCGAGTTAAAATACATGACTCAAAATGTAAAACAGACGGGTATCTAAACCCAATAAAATAGAAGCGACTACAGTAACCAATTTCGACATTTTTTTAGCCCGAAAACATCATGTGTGTGACAGAATCCGGCAACCGGATCAAACTGATCGACTTCGGCCTGGCTAGACATTATGATGGCAGCGAAGATTTGTATTATATGGCTGGTGGGCCAGTATCTTCCTGGTCTTAACCTCCTTTTCAGGAACCCCAGAATTCTCCGCCCCAGAAGTCATCAAATTCGAGCCGCTCGACTTCCGGACAGATATGTGGAGTGTTGGGGTCATCACTTATATCCTGTTAGTTCTTAATTCTGGCTTTGAAGGGGTGCAATTATAGAATCGGGGCTAGTTATGAGAAAGCAACCACAACGGCTAGGAGGTTCTGACAGAATTTTATGTTTCAGATTATCGGGATATTCCCCCTTCCTCGGTGAGACTACTCCACTTACATATTGCAATGTGGAACGCGGCGAATGGGAATTCATCGAAGAATTTGATTGTGTTTCCGAAGTTGCAAAGGATTTCATTTCCAAACTACTTGTATACGATAAGAGGTGGGCATCTTAAATCGTTCATCTAGATTTATTTTATGCTTCTGCTATACCAAGGCAAAAATTTAGTGGCCGTATGCTCCCTCGGGATTGTCTGGTGCATCCATGGCTATCTGGTGTCCGAGAAAGAGCCCAAAAAGACCAACTTCTCGATCAACCAAACGTTGGCGTTGCTATCCCAACCGACAAATTACGGCGTTACAACATCAGGAGACGGTTTCGGGTATACTAATAATAAAAATAAAGATATAAAGTATCCCTTTAGAAAGCCACCCTAGCTGTGATGAGCTATTGCGAATTCACGTCCATCCTCAACGTGCTGCGCAAGAAAAATTCGACCAAAGGCCTCGAATACTTCTCAAAGGTGGGGGATTAGCAAGGCCAAAATTAGGGCCCAATGCTTTGGCTCTATGGCTTCCTGATTAGGCAGAGGCTCGGGGAATCCCTTTTTACACTAACAAAAATCCTGATCTTGTACCTTAATGCCAAAGCATAGCTAGCAATTTCTAGGCTAAAATTGATCCGGCAAAGAAGAAAAAGAAGAGCCTCGCTAGTGCTGTGCTTGCTGCGAAGAATATTGACGTTAATCAAGAACCAGCGGTGGTTGTAACGGCTTGCGAACCATCAACCTCAGAGGTCCAGGAGGTATCAAAACATTTTTTCCAAGAATTAAATAATACTCGCACTTCAGGAAACGCCCGACGCTCTGAAAGTGGAAAAGAAAATGCAAAAAACCGAGTCCAGCGACAGCACAAAGGAAAACAACATCACCATCCCGAAAATCATCGAACCCATACCAAAGGTTGCCATCATTTTCCTTTTTAGGTTTCTACTGTTATTTCAGGCTTCCGAAGGTCTACCCCCACATCCGGAGGGTGGAGTTGTCAAGAAAAAGAAAATTGTCCGGAAGAAGAAGCCCGTCAGGGAGACCCCGGCCAGGACATCAGAATTGGACCTGCTACGGGCTCAAGTATGTCTTTATTTTCTGGCATTGATTTTTGTTTTAGGCGGATGGCAATAGTCCATCAAAGAAGTTGATTGCTGATGTGAGACAGTCCACTACCGATACTGGTACTTCTGGCGACGAAAGTGATAGGAAGCCGAAGTGTCGTTCTTATAAGGTATGGTCTGCAGAAATTTTTTTCAAGTCGATTTAGTTGAGCACGGATGAAGCTACAACTTCCGCTAAAACCGACGGTGAAACAGTGACCACCACCAATACCCAAAAATCGGACGGAGCTGGAATTACCAATATCCTGAAGACGATCGCCAAGAAAGAGAACGGTGAAACCGTAAAGAAGGTTACAATGAAGACCGAAGATTCGAAGTCACCTTCTACCTCTCGCGGATCGGTAAATTTTATTTTTGATCGCCAAATTTCCAACGCGATCTTCAAAATGTTGGCGTTTCCAGTTCGAACCGCCAAAACTACGTGTAAACTCCCTGATTGCCGAACGAATGCAAAAGCTACAAAATGACGCACCGCCGCTAACGTTCAACATCAGCGGCAAGAAGCTGGAAACACCAAAAACCAGCTCTACAAGTACCGAAGTGAGTGCAAAAATACGTTGTTAACATCACCGCATTTTTATGTGTACTACTAACCTATTCAGGGAGAATCAAAGATTACAAACCTGCGTCGGATGTTTGAATAGCGTGACCAAACAACTTTTGCTTTTTTTAGCTGGATGGTTGCATTATAATAAATTGGCTTCGCTTTATTCAAAAGCTCTTTGTATACGACAGCTATAAAAAAGGGTCCCAGACTAGCGATCGTAATGAAAACTTTTAGAAAACCGCGGAACCTCCCAAGCTTGGCTTCAAGGAATTGAAGGTGGTTACTGAAAAGAAGAGCACAACCACTACAACAACACAAGTTCGTAGCAAGGTAAGAAAACCTTACTAGAGCGACCAACGTTTTCTCTAGATTGAAAATTCGGAGCGCAAGCTAACCACCCAAACAGCTGATAAGAAGATCGAGGAGGTAATCGGAAAGAAGAGCAGCCAACAACAGGTGGATAATTTGTTTCTCTTTTCTGTTCCTATTCTTCCATGATAAAGTACATGTATCTTCTGACACATCCAGGTCAAGGTGAGCCTCGTCACAACCGCTGAGGAACAATGCCCGGAGACTGGACTTCAGAAGAAGACTTTCCAAAAGAGTGTCGCTAAGAATGAGAAGGTAACATATTTGATGTAATCTTTAACACAATACTTTAGCATGATAAGGAGGAAGAGAAGAATAGACGAGAAGAGCACAATGGTGATGAGAAGCTGACTGTGAAGACACAGAGGTCGTTGAAGCGAGAAGAAAACGATCGTTCGATCTTGCAACGACTCACAAAGGTCATAATGTTTTAGAATATAAATAAATATTCTTAGGTTGATGGAGAGACCAAGGATAACAAAAAATTGGAAGTGACAATTGGGCGTTTGAAGAAAGTGGATGGAAAAGCAACGCATGAGATTGATGGCGGAAAGGTAAGCTTATGACTAGTGAAACTAAAATACTTTCTAGGCATCGCTTCAAAACGTAGAGCTCAACATTACCTCACACGTTCGAAGAAGCATCAAGGGGAATGATGGCAGTCGCGAAGAGAAGACGGACAACGTCTCGAAATTCGAGTCCAAAATCAAGGCCGGAAGGGTGAGTAATAAAAAAACCAACTTTTAAATGGATTTAGACCGACCCTGCACCGGAAAAGACCTCATTGGCACAGGAGCTGGCGAGGTTGAAGAAAACGAAGGCGGAAGAGCCCTTGAAGAGCGCTTTGAAACGGGAAGATAGTGAGAAGAAGAGTGTTAGACTTGGGGATATTATGTTGCCGAGGATACGTTTTGATGAGGAACGTGGTTCTACTAGGGTACGTTATCGAAGTATGCACGGTTTCAACAGACTCTTTGTAAAACTCGGTATATAAATAGCGGTGCTTTAAGGTCAAATTTGCCGACCCAACCCCACCAATCATGTTCCCAACGACGAGCACATTCGGTGGAGGACTCCAAAAAGAACAAGTCGGAGACGAACATCGCGGCCCGCGTCAAGAATACGGCAAGCACCACGGTGGGTGACCGGGATAAATCCCAGAAGCCCGTACAGAACTCTTATTGTTCGATCTGCTAGACTATGGGCATCCCGCCCACAGCTGCTACCAACAAAAACAGCTCCATCAACCGTGCCGCAGACAGTCGGACTGCGTTTCGTAGGGTAATAGGCCTCTCGTGGAGACTACCCAATTACTTTTTAATATAATATAATAAAATTATACTTAAACTAAAAAATCTGGAACGCTACTGACTTCAACAAATCTAGCTGTATTGACCAATTTATATTCCTGAAACTCTTAAGAAAAAATACTATCAAAGAATTTTTGACGGCACTACCTTAACTTTATCCCAGATACCTATTCCCTACCCTAATCGCGCGATAAACAACGTCACAAACCTCTTTACACCTTGCACATCATACTGATCTATCTCTGCCAGTCCCCAAAAATTATTTTCTTTTCCAGACAAAACAAAAGACGTTGGATGACTCGGGGATTAAGAAGAGACAACATTGGCTGTATGCAGAAGCCGAAGGCGATGTCAAACCCAGAGAAGACTTCACCTTCGGCGCCCTCAAGGTTCTATTTTCATTTTTTTGGTTGCTTCCACTTCTCTGTTATCGTGTTCCCGGCCTATGTTCGGAAAATATGCACAACCGGATGTGGACTACCATTTTCTGGTTGAGCTCTTCTATCGATGATTTTTAGATTGGAAATTGAGTTTAAAGCAAGCGACCACTTTGGGACCCGTTTGAGGATAAAAAAATTACAATGTCACCAGCTTAAAACTCGTTTTTCCGTCTTTTTTTTAAACTTTTGAATTTATGGTTATATTTTTGTTGAAGTGAAGGTGTATATTAGGCCATGAACGACCGGCGGTCGCTGATAGAGCCGGGGAAGGCGATGGCGACAAAGGCAATGCTTCCATCTATACACCCCCCACATCATTAGTATTGTAGCGGAACGGAACTGCAAATCTAAAAAAATTGTTTCTCACTTTCAATTCCTTCCCATCGGTTCGGCTACATTACTAAACACTACCACACTCACTGATCAACAACCCAACAACAACAATGCACTCACCCGCGCTTGGCTTGTTTCTGGAAAATCAATTCTCATAGACCGCAAATTAGTTTCAACCGCCGTCGGCTGGGCATAGGCTTCTCGCGGAATAACTTCACTGTCGCTTCTCCGCCTCAGCTTTTTTTATTTTTAGACACTTAAAAACGTAATCTTCTAATCCAGCTTCTCAGACAAATTTTCCAGAAGCCTGCTAGCTACTCCATATTCAAACCGAGACCACTAATTCAATTAGCCCTGCTTCCCTCTACGCGCTTAGCAACGATTTTATTAAAATACTAAATTTTAATTAATTTTAGGATCTTCTGGAGCGACGTGTTTCCGGAGACTTTACCAGCGATAAGCCGAAGGCCATGATCAAGATTCCAAACGCCAATTTTGCGATGAGCAAGTGGAGGAACCTTGAGAAGAAATAATGTACGTACCACAAACAACCTGCAGCCAATTATATATATTTATTTTTAAGTTATTGTCTCTTGTTATTCCCAAAAATGCAGATTCAATCCCTCACCCTTCATCTTTGACTCTTGCTTCTTACAAAACTGTGGTCCCACAACGGTGATACATTCCAGATGCCAGCTTGACTCTTGCGCCATGTAGAATATATAGTTAATGCTATCGGGTGTAATTTAGTGGATAATCAAATTGTATATCTAATCAATTAGAACCTAGCAAAACCTTGTATTGTGATTTCCACGTGTTGCGCCGATGTTACTGGCTCGCTTCGCCTATAATTCTATTGCTCATCGCACTCGACACACACAAAACCGGTTACTGCTAGCGAACTTTTTTTGGAATAAAGATTATATGGGAGGTTATAGATTACATTATATAGTTTATGGTATGGTTATGCTTGAATATATACGCGTGGACAAACCGCGGTACTTCCGCGTTGGCTGGGGGTTTATCAGTGGATTTTAGAGCACAAAAAACAATTATGAAAAGCGGCGACGACAGGAGGTCGGGGGGAGGAAAACAAGGCTATCATGGGGGAGGTAATCTGATTACTCAAGGACAGACTATAAACAACTGGAACGTTAACGACTGGAAGTGCTAGGCTTTCTTGGAAATGTTCTAAAGTTCGGTCGGAAAGGATGGCTCTGAATGCGAGTGCAACACCTTGGTTTTATTATTTTCTAATTTTTGTCACTCAAAAACCATTGGATTCTAGTTTTTAAAATATAGATGAATTCAACGATTTGTAATTTCAATCGTTAAAATAATTTGACTTATATTACAAAAGCTATGAAAAATTTGATGGTTTTATCTTCTCTATAATCTGGAGTCTAATCTTTAATTTGTGATTGATAAATGCTCATAAAATATAGACGCTTTGAGTAGGATTCTGGCCGTAAAATTTCAAGAATTTTATAGAACGACCGATGGTTTTTAGTGAATTTCCGATACCTTACCATATTACAGTATACCCTTCGTAGACACGCTCGGATAGTTCTCAACCCCCCGAACAACATCATGCGCGGTGCTTTTTGGCCTGGAACCAGTATCGTTGTGTACAGTCTGTCTCCTCGATTCCATTTGCCGTGGATCTATGTTGAGAGGAGAGGGACCACGGCTCGAAAAGTGACCTCTTCTCTTCGCGGTCAGCAGTCACTACCCAACAGTTTTTTATCTTGCTGTTTCATTGGTCCCATCCCAGAGGGGAAGGCAAGAGCCCCACTCGTGAGCCATCGAGACGAACTAGACCCATCTCATTGTACACCAACTGTCCCTATCTATCGGCGCTCTATTTCTCAAGCCCCCTTCATGGCACCATAGTGCAATGGGCCATTTAAACTGGGTACCCACTTTGTCTTGCGTGTTACTTCAAAGTTCATTGATTGACGTTTTAAGCGGAAATTTCTGGTTTAGAATCTAAATCGGCGTCCAAAGCTGGTCTTATTCAAATCAAATTTCCAATGGAGTCGGCGGAATGACCAAGCTTCTATTCCTCCTCTAAAACTAAATATTGGGCTGCAATACATCGAAACTTGCTTTTGTCTTATGCTTCTGCGGTTAAAAAGCGCTTTTGACATGATGATTTTGCAGATTTATCTCATTTCTAAACGAGCCGGAAGCTTAATTCAATCCTCGTTTTTAAATGTGAATTTGATTCGAATAGGAGCGGCCCTACTTGGGTTGAACGTGCCAACGCGCGGCCCGAGAATAGAGTAGGCGGCTTCCTGAAAACAAGTTCCCAGCCTTGCTGCCCGGAGAACTGGTGCTTCTCCTCAGAGTTCCACGCCCATGCTGTTTTTGGCTGCCAAAAGCAGTAATTCTGGTGGTCCTTTAATTACGTGTTGCTGAACCTGTAAACAATTAATTTTTACGTGAAAACCTACTAGCAATAGCGCCCGAATGCTTTGTCTTATCTACGTTTTAGAAGGAAGGTTCCTGGGCCCCGATATCGTCTTTTCGCGATTCTTTCGATTTTTAAAGGATTTAAAGCTATATATCGATGCCAACTACAAATTTCTAGAAGATCCACTCATCAAAAAACCATTATGCAGCTCATAGTTCCCATTCAAACTTAATAATAAGAATAACTTACTAAATTTTTCTTAATTTTCTTAACCTTTTAACTTTTCGATTGGTGACATTGCATCTATCGACCCATCGTCCCAAGGGTAAAGGCAGGTTCGTGACGCCAAAAGGCGAAAACTCGGCCGAGTGGAGGAGATTCTCTTTTTCGCCGTGCTCATGCTCTCATACTCTGTCCATTCTATCCAATTGCCGCAACCCCTTTCCCCTCCCAAATACCAACCTAAATTTATGAAAATATCAACAACGCAAGCAGCGACATTGGTTGGTACTTTGGTGTCCAGATGACGCCCATTCGGCGGACACCTATTTTTGGGGAATGACCTTTGAAAATCGACCATGTCGAACGAGTGGATACATATAAATCAAGACTGGGACTTTGGTAAACTTGGTTCGATTGATTTTGGGGGTTGAGTTTGGCTTTTTAAGCCCCGAGCTATGGGTTGTTATCACCGAATTGCTCCCACGCCAGTCGGAAATTTCCAAAAAGTGGAACTTCTCAAAAACGCTTCCTTTTTCAAGATGGTTGCGTAGCTGGTAATCAAAATAGCTTCTTGTTGTACTTAGAGGTTGCAAACTAACTTGTTTTGCTAATTTCTGACCCATCACTGGTCAGCCACATCGAAGCAACACGAAAAAACAAACTGAAGGCCATTTACACGCGCGGCTCGTCGTGCATCAATCTTTTATGGCATTTTTGGGCAATTCTTTCGGCAACGCTCGACAGAGATTCGGAGCTCCACTTATTTTTCGAGCGTTTTTCCATTTTCTCAACGTTTTTCTTTGTGAACAATGTCTCGGAAACTTTTTGAAAATTAATTTAATGCTTTTAGCATCACCAAGGCGAAAACTTTCCGAACTTGCCAAGATGAACATGTTTTTGGATTCCACCGCTTATCTCCACCATGGTGAGCATCATGAGGTAAGTAATATTATTGGGTAGATTTTTGGCCGAAAAGAATTTCCATTCATTTCTCGTGAACAACTGAGCAAACTGAAATAGAAATCAAGATGCTCTTTGAATTAGAAACACCAAAACCGACCCCAACAAAGATGATTCAAGCTTTTCGAGAGGTCTGACGCTTTTCCCTTTCATCAATTTACTTTTGGAAACGCATAGAAAATGTATCCACCTGGAAACTCTGTAGGTCTGCCGTTCCAAAACAGAGATATCGACTGAATCTCAACATTAATGCAGCAATTCCCATGTCTGGCGACCTCTGAATTTTGATCTTCATACCCCAAAACCCGAATTTAGGACGATCATCACGGTGTCTCATCCGACAGATCTGCACCAGTCGTTGGAGAAAGGCCACGAGTCGTGCTCAGGTAGTTTTTTGGTGGTTTCCGTTATGGGTCAGGTTACACATAAGGGCCCTCAAGTTTGGGTCCTCAGCTCTCAAAACGCTGCTCAAAACTTTGCCTTACGTGCAGTTGCTAGGCTAAAATGCATCGCCGTAAATCGATTCAACGGTAAAGCGAGTTAATATTAATTATTTGTTTTTAAGGACGCCCTCCAAGTCGGAGCCTCATATTGAGAAGCCCCATTTGCTGATGAGCCAAGATGCTGGTGAGTGTAAAATGTGGAGTTATCCGCAATATTTTTTTGTAGTTTTAGTTTTCGAAAAAATTTTTTTGGAGTCGAACATCAAGTTTTCCCAAATTTAATTATTGTGGATTTATATACTTTCCAAAACATTGGGTAAAAGCTCATGGCAATTTCCGAAATGCCAATCCTCTTTTTATCGGCTTTGCCGCTTGTTTACGGCGAGGGCACTTCTTTCGAAATTGCCCTAGATTTCGTAAGCGTCCAGCTATTATTATTATCGCGCTAACTTAACTACTTAAAATTTATTAGCATACTGGTCCTTACTATTTCCTTCATAAAAACACTCTCATCACCATTCTCATTCGTTTTTGTGTCAATCTGAAAGGTCTGGATAGGGAAGGGAGGGCCCCCATGTTGTTGTGGCCATTTCCACCAGCCATCGATTCGTCGCCCCGTGACAAAAATAGCTCAACCACCCTCCCCTCCTCTCCCCGTGTCTCATTCCCCCTTTGGCCACACAAAAACTACCGCACATCCCCAAATCGGCGGCTTGACCGATTTGAATATTCCGGTTCTCTGCGGCTTATAATTCCAAACAACCTTCAAGACGGCTCGCCCAATGCGTCGTAACTCTATCTCGCTCTCGGTAATTCCGGAGCAGCTGTTGGAAATTGACGATGACCGTCATCAGTTTTTCTACAAACCGCGAAAGCACCTTGGGGGTAAGCCAAATAAGTTGTTAAACGGAATTTTGCATAGTTCTCTTTTTTTAGTATTTTGATAGCTGTGAATTTAGTCGGGAACAGCTGTTTTTTGCGCAGGACGTTAGCAAATACCAAACATTCTTTAGAATTGCCATTCAGTAAGATATTACGCTTTGATCAAAACTGGAAAGGCTATATCCCTTGGCATAGATTTTGGCAAACCTTAAATTGACTACAAAAATCTTAATTCAGAGCCCTCGAACGCTTTCTGGTGCATGAGTGGGTACCAAAAATAATATATTTAGTAGCTAACAAAGATCAAACCTTGTTTGTGGCTTACTAATACTTGTCGCCTTTGATTTTTGACTAGCTTAACTCCTGATTTATTTTATACAAAAAACAACAAGCATCCCGATCTCTGACTTTATACTAATCAAAATTCAGGCTTCGCCGCCCAACACCCATAGTCACTAAAACCAACAAATCAACTATTTCACAACTTGACCTCCCCACTTTTAAATCCCATGTTTACATCCCAGCAACCTCACTTATGGTAATGTACAGCCCTGATCCGCTCGACCCACTGCAGATTGGAAGGTCCCGTGATTTAGGGAGAAAAAAATCCAGTGTTTATGAGTAGATGGGGGCTTTGAAGGGATTCGTCTCTGCTCTCCTTCCGGGCAAATTGGTTTCCATGGAAAAATGGACTGGGGAGAACATGGATGGATAGAGAAATGTGAGAAGACGTCAAATCCTCCCTTCGGATCCTCGGGGGCCGCTGGGCTCACTCACTTCCTCGAGAAGGCCCATTCTAAGAAGGCGTTCTTCCCATTTGCTCGTTATTTTGTATGGATCATACTAAGGAATTGGCTGATAGTTGCAAATTCCGGAAGTATGATGGTTGGTACTTTTTGGGTATTTTAGAATGGGAGGAACCCAAGTTTATTAAACGCATTGATTTATGCTTTATTCAAACTAGAAAGATACAATTTATGATATAAGAATTTGAATTTTATTTTTTAGGCCATAAAATTTTTAAGGTTAATTTTTGGCGCTCTAATAGATGGTATGAAAACATATCGAGTTCCCATTATCGTGTTTGCTAAACTAGAATTTGACCAATTCATTAGGATTATGTAAAACGTTTAAAATGTATTTTTGTGGCTAAAATGAAATTGAGAGTATGTATTTTTTGGTCCACTAACTAGTCTTACCTTTACAACTACTTTATAAATCAAAAATTAGGTCTATTCACCCCCCCGCTATCACATGAGTACCTAATTCCGAAATTTTGAGTTCATTTCAAGTTTTTAATTTATGGTTCCATTCATAACACGTAAAAGTAGCCAAAAATCACCGCATTTTCCCACGATTCTCAGCCAACCAGTCTGTTCCAGAGCACCCATCGCTGAATCGCGTGCTTTCTTCACTGTTTGACTCGTCGGCCATGACAAAAGGTCTTCAGCCGGGAGGACTGCAGACCAGCGCGAGGTTTGTCTTTCTTGCTCGGTGTTTATTCGCACACATTCCCGCAGAAAACGGCAGAAGTGTTGTATTCTGGGGCATTTCGTTCGAGATATGTCTATTTATAACTCTTAGTTAGCCAAGTTTTGGACAATACCTTGTTTACAGCTTCTGCTAGTAGTAAGCCTTAAATTTACAGCTTAAAATTCGAAGTGTATGGGCTATTTAATAGGGCATACTGGTCGTAAATTTTTTCTACGAAACCTTAAAATCCAATCAATTGTCGTGTGGTAACCCTGATCTCTATGCCCTTTCCCGAAAATGTACTAGTCCTAAAAGTGCATATTATCTCAGAGCACCCCTAAAATCTGGATGCTCTTTGCCCAGAATGCGGAATGTGAGGGCGTGATGGTGGGGAGGGATGGGGAGGAAGGGAGGCTAGTTGGGTTGGGTGAGCATCAGAGCGAGGGAGACGGAGCAAATGAGCACAAGGGTGCACAGATCTTTTTGTCTCGTGTCGTCACAGGCACGGCTTCATATCTACAAATGCTTTAAAATCGGGGATAGGTGCCGGGAGGTTCAAGAAATGTTAGGTTTAGGAGTTCGTGTTTTTTGGCTGCAATTGTGCGAGTATTGTTGGCTATGATCGTAAATTTTTTAAATGGTCCTTGGGTGCTTGTTTTTGATACATGAGCCTCAGGTCATTTAATTTCCTCCCTCCGCCCTGGCTCAACCGCGCATAGTTCTTTTGCCTCGTGTCGTCACAATCGTGCACCCCGGGTATTCCACATTTCGTGATAGCTCGCTCGACCGATCGCTCTGCGCCCTCCTCTTCGCTAGATTACGCGCGCACAATTCCCTAAAGGCTCGTCGTGTCGTTTCCGCTGTCGCACCCCGCTCCCCCACAGCAATCCACGAAAACAACGGGCTCACGTTGCCAGGTATTGACGGGGGAAGTATTTTCTGTAGGTTGGCTCAATGTCGCCATGTGGTGTTCGTGGACTGAGCAGTCAGGGTGATGAAACGGTTAGTTGGTTGAGCTAGGTGTAGGCCTAGGTTGTTGCTTGTAGTGTGTGGTTCACAGTGTGTAGCATACGGCCCACACGAGCGTTTTAGTGAGCGGGAGTTGTAGTTTGCAATGACGTTAAAATCTTTTTAGAGCATATACACATTCATATGCTCCCACACAATTTCATTGAATCGACCCCATTTTTGCGCCGAAAAAACCAGGCTGTATACACAATTCCCGCCGACGCAGTGACGGGCCCCGGCCTGGCACAATGGAATTTGCCGGAAATGGCCTGAGCATCACCTCAATGGCATCTGCAAACATGAAGTCCGGGAAGGCAGTGTTCGTTTTCCTACAGCGAAGAAATCCATTTATCGAAAAAATATATTGGCAGATGGTTAGCTATAAATGTTTGGGATCAAAAGCTGAGTCACCCCGGCCAATGAGGTTCCGCTCGTGCTTTGCTTGCCACGTTAAAGGGTGTACACGTCGGGACGAATACACGGCCCCTCCCTGAACATGCGCTTTAAATATGAAGTACGGAATGCACCGACTTTGGACGCGGGCTGTTTACATCAAGCCGACCCCTTCCTTTTACCAGTAAATAGGGAACACGGAACTATCCCCCCCCCCCCCCATCGTTTCGCAATAGTTGAGGCCCAGGGTCCCTTTTTCCCGGTGACGTGGGGGGGAGGACGGGGCAACGGTGGTCCCGTCGCGTGTTCCTGACAGCTTGCCAACCCCAGGGTTGTAGGCTGCTTTGGAAACCGGATGTGTCATACCCGGTAGTACCACGTGACCGTGAGATCAAACTTTCTCGCAGGTTGATGAGGGTGGGGTGCTATAAAATAGAGTGAAGGTGATGTGGAAATAGCACAACTTTTGAAAGTATGCATTTATTTCCTGGTTGCCCTCTCTGCTTTCCTGTCTTTACCTGGCTAGTCGAAGTCGAGCATACCTTACAATACCTTGAATCCAAACCAAGTTGCCAACCCTCTTTTTTACTCACCCTTCCAATTTATCGCTTCCCTCAAATTAATCGACACCAAATTCCAACCCGACCCCCAACCCATTCGTGATAAATGTCAAGGATGTGATTGGGACTCGCAAAAAACGAGGGATGAGCGCCCTCATTACTCCCTCATCAACCCCCAACTAATCCCCACCCTTTGCCTCCCTTCAATGTTTGGTGGCTACATCGTAGCTGCGTTCCCTCACTCCCTCCCGTCCCGCCAATCCCTCCGAGTCCGCCCGACAACATCGGCAACCCGTTCGGAGATCCGAGTTTTACACATTGCGGTGTTTTGCCTGCCAACCCGGACCAGAAGGGACTTCCTCCAGGCATCTAAATGGGCTTAGCGCACGGAATGTACTCTTTGTTGTCTGGCAGGTTCGGGCCGGTCAGCCGGTGGGCGACTGAGGGTTGAAGCGGAAGCATTGGGCGAGGCGATACCAAAAAGTGGTGTTTTGAAGGACTGTAAGAAATATGTCAGTAAGTACCGTATTTTCTGTGATGGGTCTCCCTTGATTTTTTCGTCAACCAAAATTCCAAATTTTAAAAAATATCCTTTTTTTGAGCTTCGCATTGTGTTTCGGAGCTGTTTTAGGTACATAAACTGCAAAAAATAAAATAAATGCGTTTCGGTCGATCTAAAAAGTATCTTTTTTCGCGATGGTTGTAAAAATCGAGCCCCTGGTATTTTATTAGAGTAAACACGGTATGCAATTCTCCTACCTCCCCCAGCTCTTCCCTTATCTAACGCCTGTAAATTACGTCGTCAAATTTTGCCGGACCCCAGATAAAAGCAGATTCTACCTGGAAAACAGTTTGACTTCGGGGCAACCCCGTACTTGCTTGCTCTTTCGATAATAACACCCCGCAGACCGCTGCACGGCAGCGACGAAAAACTGTTCCAAAACGGGCGTATTGTTTGTTGGAGATGGTATTTCGACGAGGCGCCTGTTCTGTACCTCGGATTTGTCAGGGTGGAGTCCCCACGTGGGGTGATCGGGGCGCAAGAAACGGGGCTCCCCAACGGGTGCTCCGGCTGCTCGCTTTTTGACAATTTCTTTGCGCTCCCAGTCTCTCGTTGTCTTTCGTTTCTCTAAGCGATCCTCTTTTCCGGTCGCGGCCAGCACCCGATCGGCCTTTCGTCGACAGTTGAGCGGCCGTGCAGGTCAAGAAATCAAGTGCCCATACCACGAAAGTTTTCGTGAGGTGGAAGGCTTTTGGGGGCAACTCGCCTTGGAAAAAACAGCCCAATGACCGACCGGGAGCCTAATGGCCTTAGGGTAGGGTTGGTCCTTAGAGGTGAAAAGTTGGGGTGGGGCTAGCGATAAATTTTGGTCGAGGAATCCTGGAGGTAAAAAATGTTGTTGAGGGCACGGAACAGCCAATCCCTTTAGTGGCGGTCGTTGCTCTTCTGACGTAGCAAGGATGGGTTTCCCCCTGGGTAACCTCCTTTATGGGGGAGCGGGATTGTTCATAGTCTTCCCCCTGAAAGGCCAAACGATGAGAGGGGGATTTCCGTTGCCGGATCTGTATCCAGGGCTCAACTCCTTCTCGATCACTTCTCTGTCCATTATTTTGGGGATAAAAAGTGACCTCCGCAAAGCAATCAAGAGGGGTACGCCCCGCACCCAGACGCGGTATCCGATTCGAATTTTGCTGAATGGACGCGGCGGAATGCGGATCGGAACTGCAAAAGGAGGTGGGGTAGCAGGAGCCCCACGTGGTGATTGTATATGCCATTGTGCTATGGGCTTGGGGGAATACCATTGAAGTAGCATTCCTCTGTATCTCCTGAAGAAACCTTTACCTCAAGATTTTGATAAAATCGATAAGCCAAGCTATAGCCGCGCTTAGCTTTCTAAAAAGGCTTTCGACACGCTCCCCGAAAATCCTCCGCGCTTACAAAGCAATAATGATAGGTTTTCCCCGCCGATTTTCTAACCTTAGTTTGCAACTAGAATGGACATTAGCATATGGAGCTGCCCGAAAAGCTCAACAATTATTAACCTCTGCTATACCGTAGGTCGATCTCATCAAAATTAATGGTCTAATGTTTCCTTTAACCGCTTCTCCGCAACATCACTCTCCTGTTTTCCACGATTCTGATAAAGCTCTACAATTTGCTGTCATCGCAAAAAATTGATTCGCCCCCCCTCGCGTGGCACCATAAATGGGGGCCTAATCTTTAGGAGTTGGGGAAATTTTTCGAGGTTTCCTGAATGGCAGGATGGATGGAATGGCCACCACCACCCGGGCGAGAAGCGCGATAACTTTTTGGTCGTGTTCGCCTGTGTCTCGCTTGCGCGTGCGCTATTTGTTCGGTGTCTCTCTGCCTCTTGAAGCTAGAGATCAAAAAGGGGCCGGGGCTGGGGGAACGGGAGCCCATCAGCGAACTGTCTCGTGTCAGTCGATATTTTCGTGGCTTTGCGTCGACAAAAGTTGGTTGGACGATGAATCTAAACAATGAGCTGCCGCATATTCCATTCAGGTAATTTTAGAAAAATGTAGCACATTACATCATGCTGTTTGCAAAGTTTTAAAGCTTATTTGACCAGCCCCGAGTTGTTAGGCTAATTCTAAAGTTTCGGATGTGTCAATATTTTTCGGACCAATTAGGGCAACATGTCGGCCTTGGTACCATAGATGGGGGGATAATTCCTGGGATCGCAGACATCCGATCTGTCTGTCTGTCTCTCTGCCGCTCTATTCCTTCCCAAATCCCCCGCTCTACCATCTGTCTAGCCAGATCCATCGATTTATGCAAGCCTGGGCTTGGGTTTTCATCCCGCTAGTGACTCAATGTTTGGGGTGACTCAGTTTTTTATATGTTGCTTTTTTCAAGGCGTAGGCGTGTACGTTCATTTGCCAAAAACCTGCGTTTTGCTTGCTTGGTTCAAGGTTTTAGTTGGGCTTGGTAAATTGGCTAGAGTTGCTTTTCGTTTGCGCCATAGTTCTTGTGGTGCGTTCTCCGAACGTTAAAGTTCAACGAGATCTTTTTTTCCGTTCAAGTCTCGGGGTGTTTTTCAGTTTTGTCATTTGCAGTGGGACCGGAAGTGGTCTGCTGGCACTTTGCCAATATGTCTTGGCACTCATCTTTCGGGATAGCTATCTGAACCAACGTTAGACGCTTCGAATTTCCATCACAGGACACAGCTTTTGCTTCCGCTTCTAGTTTTTCAAAATCCACCGGAAGGCAGAGATAAAAACCCCGCATTTGAGTGACGCTAGTTGCTAGCCAGCCATGCCACGTGCGGAATTTTTGGGTTCATGCCCTTTATCTGGCCGCCAATTTTGGGTTGGTCATCGCTTGGACTAGAGTGGGTGGGGTGAGTTCCGGGGTGTGTGGGCCCTTTCTCTCTTCGTCGAAAAGCCCGTTTTTCCGTTGGCCACCCCCATCGCATCGATTTCCGAGCCGCGTCCACCCGCTTACGTCAGCCTCCGCGGCCCTCCCATCACCCTCAGCCTTCATTTCTTCTCGCCAACTGTTGACTTTCATGTTTCGTCAATTTTTTCTACCTAAAATTAAAAAAGAGGTTGTTTGTGCAATTGCATGCAAGTAGTATCCTCAGTATGACCTGACGATTTTGGTCACCTGCATTATTCGTATTCAAACAGTATCGCCAGAAGTAGGGTAGCATATAAAAAAGAGCTGCAGCAGCGCTTTTGATTTTCTGCAGAGTAGTGCGTTGTAGTAGTAAAATTATGCAAAGTGTAGACTTTGGTTGGTCCCGAACGGGCTAGCTTTTCAACCCTGGTTTTCCCTAAATTTTTCACATCACCGCTCGACCACGTGGGGACCAAATTCATAGAGTAGTTTATTTTTCGCGTGGGTCGGCCGGCGACACAACTTTTTCACCCGCTGTCCATGCCAGTCTATCAGTTGTTCGGGACCGGGGGGGATGGCAGTGGCGGCGCGTTATCTAAATTGCACCTAGGGATCAACCCGGGTACCCCTCCGGCGGCATAAAATTTGAGGCTGGGAGTGACACGCGAGCAGCTGGGGGACTGTGCTTTTTCGGCTTACTATGAGAAGGAGCTGGGGGTTACGGGCTGATTGGATGGTGATGCAATGGCACAAACTTTTTGCAAATATAGGATCATGTGGCGATAGGGAGTTTGGGCTAATTTTTGTAGGTTATCAAGGATGTTGGGCACGTGAGTGTTGGTGTAATAGGTTAGTGGGTCGGAGAAAGGTCAGTATATAAAAGGGCTGTGAGAGGCGGCTATCATTGCACAATAAATCGGTAGCCATTTTTTTATAGAAAATTGAAAACTTTTTGGCGATGACATGCAAATTTTAAGACTTTAAAATTGCCCGACGCTGATCTTAGTATTTGGGTGCTTACCAAGGATTTGGTTTGTAATTCAAATGTAATTTAATTTCATGTGCGAAATATCTTAACGATTTTGAGCACACAAATTTAAAAATATTTCTTTCAGCTCGGGCGCTTTGATCGCCGACCCGGCGCACCTGCAGGCACCACCGCTGCGCAAGTCATCTTCAGCGGTTGACTGGGCAGTCAGCCTCCAGGATCCGATCAGCAGAAAATCGTCCTCCTCATTCCAACAGGTTTGTTTCTCCCAGACACAGTCCTTTAATCAACAATCGACGATCGTTTGTCCCGCCAAAATCTGCAAAACAAACTAGCCGATGATCTTGATCTGGTGATTTCGTGTCCTTGAAATCAGGGTTTGGGTGAGCAGGTGCAAGTAACGGATCATATCTTTGCAAAACACCGACTTTTTAGCTTCTTCAAAGCTTATAGGAAAGCCACCCCAGAAAACGCCTGGTTTCGTTTACGGGGGAATGCCAAAAAACACATGTGGTGCCCTGACGCGGGATATTTACCCTAAATCTATAGCAGAAACCCGCTAGAAAACTCTTCAACCACTAGACTAGAGACCACAACCACCTGCTACTAGTCGTAACCATCACCTTAACCTGTGGTCTTGTCGTAAAACTTATTTACGCGTCCACCCTCGCAAAAAAAAAGTTTAAATTTTCCGGAAAATTCCTGGGGGATACCCCCGACCTTTATCCCAGCACGTGAACTTCGAAAATTGTAGTTTCATATGTTTAATATGTCAACAACTATTTGCCGGCGTAAATTTGTGTGAAGTGGTGGCTTCGTAGCAGTGATGCACCGCCCGTATTGAGTATTGTCGTGTAGTGGTTTTGTCGTTTCAGCACGTAGCTGATTGGACGCAGCACTTGGTGGAGGATAACGCGCGGAAGCCGAGCTACACCCAGCTGTACAGTCATCACTTGGAGAATTTGTCTGTGGCACCGGTGAGGAAGAGCTCGTCGGCCACCTTCACCCATCCTCCTGTTCCTCAGGAGTCGCAGCACGGCCCTACCACCCAGGTCTGTGTTGTTTTTGTGTGTTAGTTATAAGTTTATTTTTGCACCGAGTGATGGGTGTAGATGTTGTTTTGTGTACTGATATATAGAGAAAAGTAAAACTCACTGAGAAATTAGCGGTTTATTCGAGAAAAACTGAAATTGGGCGCCGAAAATTCTTAGTTTTATGGGGAAAGGCGTAAACTCAATCTCCCTATAAAAATTTTCTATTTTCTCGGCGGTAATTTTGGGAATCCGCTTCATTTTGGATTTAACTGTTAAATTGCTTCAAAAATAAAGTAAGATTATTGAAAACACTAAACTTTTGTATCCGAAAGGCACACTAATTTGTTATTGCGCGTCACCCCTTTTCCGCTTAATCACCGCCGCGCCCACGCCTCCACAAAATTCCACTTTTCCTCGGAACCCAACCAAATCCAATGACGCAGAGCGCAAAATAAGCCCAATTAGACCACAACGTCACCCCGGCTTTTCTTCCTGTCGACTCTTCCAGAAAATACCGGCCCCGAAAATCAGCTGGAACCCTCAGCTGTTGACACCTTAAATCCTCGGTTATTTTTTTTGACAATCACCCCCAAAAACGGCTGTGTTGACAGTCGGAAACGCCGACAAAAAAAAAGGCTTTTACAGGCAACAGTGAACAGCCATCCAGGCGCTCTGCTATCAGTCGCTTCCACCTGGGCGAACGGATGGAAGGGGAGGAGGAGGAGGAGGGGAGCGAGTGAGAGAGCGCGAGAATCAGAGGCAACGAATTGTAGGCGGGGTGTGTGGCAAACATCTCTTCGACCCCTCGGCTCTCCATGTGATTCCTTCCTATATAGCCCTTGCATCAGTTGCCCCCCAAGAACACAGGTTCACTTCCGTCCCCCCGTCCCCGCTTTCTTACTTCGTCTTTCTTGCCTTTATTCACTATTTTATTTACATTATAATGCTGTCGATTAGGCCGCGAGCACTATTAGAGGTAACTTAGAGAAATTTTAAAAATTAGTGTCATCAACGTTTAAAGATTTGGTAGAAGAATATCAAGACCCATTTTTCAGGGAGGGCTTGTGATGAGCACTGCCACCACTGAGCGCCAACAAATGGTTCAATCAACGCACGTCAATACTTCTCCTTTCTCGCAGGTACGGTAGAAAATTGAAAGGTTAGGAATTGGCTCAAGATCGCCCTTGGGAGGTGTCGTTTTTGGTAATTTTCGAGCTTTGCGATGTAAGCTAGCTTATTCGGCACATCCTGCTTTCAAAAAAGTGACAGCTACAGACTGAAGGAAAAGTTCCTTGAAGTTTAAATTCTCTTAAACCGGGGGAAAATTATCTTTAAAATTTAAAATCGAGATTTTCCAAGCAAAATTCCGCCTAGATCGTTATCGCCCAGAAATTTTTAAAAAACGTAAAAAGGAACGTAAACTTCAATATCCCCTTAAAACCGCTGCTTTTCCCGCCTTCTTCCGGTTGCCTGTTTGCAAGCGCAAAAAGTGTCTAGCTGGCTCGCCGCCAACCGGTTTCTCTCTGCAGCCGAAATTTTTGCGCTGAACTCATAAAGGGCGGCGGCCAGACGGAGCGGATGGTCTGATCAAAACAATTTTGCGAGATCTGCCAATGGGGGGGGCAACGGAACCGGAGGTGATGTTTGCCATCCGGTCGCTCTTCCCCAGGCATCCAAAATCCGCGCCGCGCTCCGAAGTACACCTATAATGTCCTTTGGGTCCTTGTGTACGGGTTGTGCATAAAGGGCATCGGCCAAGGATTGGTGCGGGGGTATTGATCGATTGAAGATGGCGGGTTAGCAATTTAGTGATGTAGAGAGTACAGGGGTGTTCGTTGAATGTATTTTGGAGTTTAAAGAATACTGGGTTTACTCTGATATATAGGCACATGGCTTTTAACTTTGAATCATTAAAGGAGGATTTTATTTTATAGGAGGGATGGCTTATATTTTTGGAATAATCAAAATCCGAGCAATTTTGCGTAAAAAAATTTTTCGAACAATGACTACGGGTTCTATTGCTGTAAATTATTTAAAAATAGTGATATTGGCAAGGAACCTTCGCAATAATCCGTACCTTTCAGCATATCGTCGCTGCTTCATCAGCCACAACCCACACCGCAGGGCCACTGTCAAACCCGCTGGACCCGGTAGCCCAACCCCCAAGCAAGGTTCGTTCGTTTCAACGACCATCAGACCCAGGATAGACCCAATTCGACGTAGACACAACAGCCGCCCTTATGTTGTTTACCACATTGGGCCCTGCCCCCCTTTCGCCATCGAAAAATCCCCCTACTTCCAAATATATAAGGGCACCCACACCCAGGGCCCGCCATTCCCAAACACTACTATGAACACAGCTTCCCCTTACGTATTACTAATCGATTCGGTTAAAGCTACGCAAAGTAGATATGGATCAAGATTGAAAAATGTAAGCTGATAAAATTCAAGTAATATTAAAAACTTCCACCTTTTGTATTAATAATATTGTTATATAAATAGTCCAAACAATTTTATATGTTTTATTAACTTTTCAATTTTTCAGAGCGGCGGCATGCTCGGAAATATGTTCAAGTCCGGATTCTTTGCCCGACCCGTTGTCCGTACAGAAGAAGAAAACTATCGCTACATGATGGCCCTCGACCGTTGAGAGGACCTATACCCTTCAGCACCAACAGTACCCTCCTCTACAGTAACCCACGACTACGATTCGCAACCATGTGACCCTGGCGATTCTCGACCTCATTTTATGCGCAGAATAAGCTTCCTCGCACTCCTCGGCCCACAACCAACCGAATAGTATTTTCTTTTACATATTCTGCGACATCCTTCTGCAATACGGGTACCTCGGCCTCAATCCGGCTCACCACACCACTGTTCATTTTTTCATGTTTGCCTTGTCGGATTGGCCCTTCTTGATGTCTCTGTCTTTTCACCTCAACAAAAATTCATCTATTCTTGGTTCTTTGTCTTTTTGTATAGTCTCAAGTTGTCGCCTTTTTGAGAAGAAACAAAATACGAAGTGCACCCATTCCCCTCTTCCAGCCGTTCGCGCCGTGTCTCGACTGGATTTTTTGTATTTTGTTACATAAATCAGTTCGCAGAATCTGTCAAATGGCATTTTTAGTGCGATCCGAGAGTGGTAAAATTTGAGATGATAGGCGCGAACGGATGAGAGGGAAGGCAACAAACCTCATCTTTCCTCGATCTCCTCGGTTCAAATCCCCCGGTTACTCTATTTTTTTTTTGATCTGCCACCAGAGGTCTCTCTTGGAAATAAGCAGGTTTAGATCGTTTTTAAAGCTTTAGATGAACTCTTTATCACACAAATAAAAATTATGCCAGAAATAGCCCTTTGAAACAATGAACAAAGTTTGAAAACAATCACAAGAACCTGAAGAAATCTCATAAAAAGGTCAATTTTTTAGGGCCTTATCGTACTCAACTTTTTTTTGTCAGGGGGCGCAACGCTCGGCACGCGATAAAACGAAACAAAGAAAGCGTTCAAAAACCGTCTGGCAGCTTGGCAGGATTGCACATAATGGGGGCAAAATATTTGCGATTGGAGCGGCTCCAACTACCCGAATTTAGACAGAGTCCCTGATGGAGGAGCGTTGAGGGAGATTGAAGAGGGCAGTATAGATGCAAATTGGGTTAATTTGAGGGCAAGGGGGTATATGTTCTAACGAGGTGTGTTGTAGCGAAGCTCATGAGACTCGGAAAGCGGCCCTGGAGGGTTAGTAGGTACTGGAGCATGATGTGCTCTGTTCCTCCACCGGTTTATCAGATGAGCGGGGATGGTCTTGGTTTTCTCGCCGAAGAAAAATGCAGTTGCGATGAGGTAACAAAGCAGTCCAATGAAGAATAGTCCTGGTGGGTAGCCGGTGGAGTACTAAAAAAGTATTTGAATGCTGTTAATATTTTCCCTCCATTGAAATTAATTTCAATGCCCGACAAGAAAACCGGCTAGGTTTAACCTGGGCTTACCTTGAAGCCCGCCGGCAATGGTTTCACGAATCCCGGATTAAAGCGAGCCAGAAGATAAAGCCCGAAAAGCACCGCATACAAACCAACTGAATTTATGTATTTAATATTTTGATTGTGGTTATGGTAAGGTTTTACCTCCAACGATTGCCAGCCAGAAAATCTTGACCAATCGGCTTTCTTTATAGAGGCATAATTTGTAGCAGAACGCAATCGAAATGAAGAACCAGACGATACACAAAAATAGCAGTGCTCTTGCTGTCCATCCCATTAGCTTTGACACTAAAGGTGTAAATATTGTTTTTTATTTTCCGATGAGCCTGTGTCCAAGTAAAGTGTGCCAGCAATATTACGAAAAATACATTGAAGCGGTTTTAAAGCCAACAAAGGTACGTACCGATGCATGGCTCGACGATAGTTGATCCCGAGAAAATGGATCCATTACCAAAGGCTGGTTGTTCATAAGACGACGACCAGCCCTTGCACGACGTAGCCACGCCATCTTTAAAATAGCAGTCATCAAACAGGCCACGCTAAAAATTAAAGATAGAAAATTGATCGGGAAACTGGAACGACCTGGAACTCCTCATTGCTACTTTCGGACTTAACGGTGATCCAAGCATTATTGCCATAGGCCATGATCTGGATCCCGAATGCAGCGATGTACCATAGAACTGTGCAGGCATAGGAAATAACGCGTTGGTCGTTGGGTAGTCCGACGCTATCGACCGAACCCTGGCTTCGCGCCATGCTAAGTGTTTGCATTTAAATTTATGCGTGAAAAGGTATTTGGAAAAGTATTATTAGAGGATTAAAGTATGTTACAAACACTCAATTTTTTAAAAGTCTTTGTGTTGTAAGATGTGTTATCTTTCAAAAGACGATTGCAATCAAAAACGTGAAAAAGATTTCTGAGCAGCACTCGTAAATAAGCGGTACTTGGTCGATAAGGAGCTTGGGGGGCCCGGGGGCCCATCTGGGCACACACATGTCTCAGCATTATGCACGAATAATTGCCCAGTTCCCAACTGGGTAGCCTAGTAAGTTTTCGGCTGTGAGTAGAGTATGGAATGTTGCAAAAATTTCTGAATCTATAGCTTGTCCAATTTTTCTAAACAACCTTAAAATGGAGGCTAAAGCAAAAATGGTCGGGCATTTAAGGATCGCGGAAATTTGACGACATCCGCACTAAATTTTGTTGTCTACTACCTCTTGGGTAATTAATAAGCCATATAATTAGATATATTAATGGGTGCTAATGCAGTTAGGGGGGGGGGCAGTCCGAAATTGGTAGTAAGGGGTTACGAGACGCTCCGCTTAAGCTACTTGGTTTTCTGCTTAAGCCTAGGCAACTTAGCTTTAACTAAGCTTAGCTAGGCTTAGGCTAAGCTTAAGCCCAAACTAAGCTTAACTTGAGGTTTAAATTGCCTTAGGTGGTCAAAATGGGGTCATTTAGGACTAAGCTTAGAGCTAAGCTTAGCTTGGCTCCAGCTAAGCTTAGACTTCGTTTTTATGAAGCTAATCCTAGGCTTAGGCTTGACTTAGCTTTTCCAGAGGCTTCGAGTTTAAAAACGGCATTTGGAGCGTCTTGTAGTCAAAATCGGGACCCCCTAAGTGCATTAGCACCTATTAATGTAATGGTTGACCCAAAATTAATCGATTTCGTGAAGGAGCTGGTTCGTAGGCCGGGGGAGAGGTTTCGTCGCCTGTGTTCACCCATGAAACAAACAAAGACGCGCAGGGCCCACTCACCGGGATGAGGAAGCTAAGCTTTTGCTGGTTTTGACCGTTCAATCCTTTTTAAAGGTATCAATATACGCAGTTTAAAACTCCAAATTTGGGACGAATCATGAAATAAATAATAACCAAGGACGAGCTTCCAAAAAATTATGAAGGATCATTTGGAATTATTTGCAGGAAAATCTAGGAAAAACAGACAGGTAGCGTGGAACCGGACTGAAACGTGAACGTGAAACGTGAAACTAATCTACCGTATCACTTTATACGCTAGAATTATTGCGCCAGAAAATCCGGAAAAGAATTATTGCAGAAAGCTGGCTACAAGAGGGGCCGGGGGTGGACTGTTGTGCGGGTGAAGGATCGAGTCAAGGTCGAACTTTTGGCAAAGGAGGCAATGCCCTAATACTTATTGATCCAAAGACCATCCTCATGGTCATACAGTCGAGAATCGTTGGCGGTGAATCATTCACCTTTCTATTGGAAAACAATCGGAAACGGTCGGGGCAAAGGGTAAACATCGGCAAACGTTGGTTTGATGGGAATATTTTAAGTGGATTGCTGACGTAAAGGCGAAACTTGCGTATTTATTTTTTTAGCGGAAACGAAATTAACGGATAAACTAAAGTGGTTGAAATAAAATAAGCATCAAACCAAAAATCTGCCAAGAGCAAGGTTAACGTTGACATATCTTGCTAGGTTTCCAGCACTGGTCAGTAACTTTAATCCGAACATCCGGCACCTCCCTACCGAGAAAACCCAAATCACTTCGAAAAGTTCAATCCTCAAAATGCACTATATTGAAGTGACACTAGGGTGGTACGACACGACAAGCCGTAACGCCAGAGCACCCTCGGCTTTTCCCCAGGGTGCATTTCTTCCGGTTGCCATGCCTCCAAGTCGGGCTAGTGTCAAAAGGCACACGCAAGGCATTGGGTAGAAGGCATCATTATCGCAAAGGCCTTGATTACGATTAAAGGAAGTTGGAAGCCACCAAAAAACGCATGGTCGCTTTAATTTTTGCTGACGAGCTGTGAGCTTCGATTGGCTCCTCGTAGCTGTCGTACTGTACTTCTGTGCAGATTCAAAACGGGCCTCGCGCCAAGCAAAATCTTAAGTAATTTTTTCAGGGGCCTTTTCCAGCTTTTTTCTATCACTCATATAGGTTTAAACATAATTTTTCAAAGCTCAAACTATCATAACCTGCTAGAATGTAAATCGGTACTTTCAGATCTTGAAATTTATCATAAAGAAGCACAAAACCCGTTAAAATGCGAAATGTGTAGTATGTCGGGGCAGAAGAAGAGGAGAATGGGTGTTGAGATTGCATTTTCGAGGCGTCGATTCGATTCTTTTGGAGACGAAAGCAAGGGCCCAAAAGGCCCCACTCACAAATGAAAGGGCCCCCTCCACCCCAATGCAACAAAAGCGAGCTTAGCGCCGCATTGGTAACCAATACGACTAAATTTTTGAAAAATAACGTTAAGTACAATACAAGCCACGTACTGACTGGGCCGTATTTTTGTTTTCGGGTGTTGGCGCGAATGGTTTTTTCAGCGTACCACCGATTAAAAAATCTCGGAAACGCTACTAGCCGACAATGCCAGACTTGCGGCTTCCTATAGCCCAAATATATAATGTCAAATTTTAGAGGACCCAGGCCAAGGATTTTGCTTGGATAATGCGATTTGCATCTTATATGGAACCAGTGGACAAAGACCGCTTCGCGGCCATTTTCCACTGGACCCGGTCTAGGATTCATGAATCCGAATACATTCTTCTTTTAGCCTGCGGCGCTAGAGCCAGCGTTCCGCTAGAACCTTTGAGCCTGCGGCGCTAGTTACTGCTTTTTCTCCAGGATCTGGCCTGCGGCGCGAGAGCCTGGGCAAGGAATTTCTCTTGGGCCTGCGGCGCTCGAGCGAGAGCCAGGCCTAAAGCATACCGAGAGCCTAGAAATATGTTTAGTTGCTAAAAGGCCATCCGCGAGTCCTCGAACAGGCCCTAATATGGCTTGGCACAGTTTTTCGACCCTGTTTTTGACACCATCTGAAGGCATGGTCGAATTAGGGGCGTGGCACTATTTTGAGAATTTTAAAAGTTTAATTTCGGGGTTAAATCGGCCGTTAAAGTTGCGGATGTCGAAAAATTATCTCGAAAGTGACTTGAGGGAATGCTGAAAAGGTGTGTATGCTAATTTTAGACGCTGATCATTTCTCTAATACATCGCGAAACACAAAATGAGCGGAACATGGTTAAATCACGTACTCGAGATGGTTTTCCGGAATCCACAAAAAACGGCCTTTCTGCGCTCCATGAAAATGGCGCAGAAAGATGCGCCATATTTTTACGTCGATACATGTGTCGTTTACCCGGAAACCAGCTCACCTCCTCTTGCTACAACGCGTTTTATACGCCAAAAACGCGCCAAAAATGGCCCCCAAAAATACAAAATCTTCGGTTCGGAAAATAAAGACAACAGATCGCATCTAGAAGACGAGCTGAAGCGATTGCAAGAGCAAAAGAAATTCGGCTTCTTAGGGGGGCTGGGATTGAACCCGCGCCGCCTCCGTATTGGCACGCCGACGCTCTACCCATTGCGCCACGGGGCTCCCAGGCGGAGGGTCTGGTTCGATTCGCGACATTGAAATAAGGCTAATTTCTTTGCTCTTTTTCGCAATCGCTTCAGCTCGTCTTCTAGATGCGATCTGTTGTCTTTATTTTCCGAACCGAAGATTTTGTATTAGGGGCCATTGGCGTTTTTGGCGTATACGTTATAGCAAGAGGAGGGAGCGGTTTCCGTAACGGCACATATATCGACGTAAAATATGGGCATCTCTACGCTATTTTTGGAGCGCGAAAAGGCCTTTATGGATTCCGGGAAAATCTCGGTACGTGATTACAGCCTTCATTGTGTTTCGCGTGTATTAGAGAAATGATCGGCGTCTAGAATTAGGCATACACACCGTGGCATATTCCCTCAAGTCCCTCGAGAAACCGGCATCGGCAGCTTCGGCGGCCGATTAGCCCGAGAAGCTTAAAATCTCAAAATAGTGCCACCCCCTAATTCGACCGTGTCTCAGATGGTGTCAAAACAGGGTCGGGCTGCTAAGCCTTGTTCGGGTGGCTCGCAAACGGCCTTTTAACTACCAAAAAGCAAAAAGTTGATTTGCCAAGGATCCGAACCCACGACTATAAGCGTGGTAGGCAGGACGTAAAGCCACTACACCACGGGGTAGATGGGAACAGGCGGCGGGAAGCCCTCTTCTGTTCCGGGGAAAGGGGGGCGGGGAGGCACAGAAAAGGCCGACCCAATGCCCCGGAAGGGAGGCCTTCTGGTCACTTTACAAAATTAAGTTTTTTAGTCTGAATCTGCAGAAAATTTGTAAAGATAATAAGATGCGCGTGATCCCCACTATCGAATACATAACTGGTCCAAATTTCAGCTCGAAATTCCAAATGCGAATCGAGTTATGCCCCGGACACCACCGCCATTGGCCCATTTTGTTAAGGATTTTCACTATTTTGCTTGTAAAACCGTTAAATGAAAGAATTTCGCAAAACAAAAAATGCGTGTCTGACAAATGTGTTTCTCCACCTTCATGCCAAAAATCAGCTCGAAATTCGGCCTCACGGCCGAGAAATCCTCATTACAGAAAACAGACATACTTTTCTCGCTTATAGGATAGGATTATAGTTTCACTTCCTCGCACAAACAAATTTAACGACCCAGGTGTGGAAGGCACTAGGGGGCTTGAGATAGAATAGCGACGACAGGGCTAGATAATTACTGTCTTTAGAGCGAAACAAAGGCCCGAAATTCCACATATCGGTAAAATGTGCATCGACGGCACGCAAGACGTCATAATAGGTATGCAACATTTGGCTGCAAAGCATTGCGGAGAATTGGAATCAAACCCCTTGCCAACAATCTTCTATTGGCTTATACAGTTCCCTCATAGAATCTCGAAGATCAAAATTTTTTGGATCTAAAAACTAGCATTGACTGGACCAAC